TCCAAAGACGGCGCTCTTAAACATTCATCCCAATAACCTTTTGTGATGACCTCTGCTTTCACCAAAGAGAAAACCATGCGATAAAAAGATAATCCAATATTTCTACGAACGTAGCAATTGTTAACATTTGACTTAAATGTTGTACTTACTGATAACATATAATGTAAGATGACTATTAACAGACTGAACAATATTATCTTGACATCTCCACATTTTACCATTATCTCTATAATAATCTATAGATTTTATAGTTAGTTTATGTTCAGCTCCACAGTTTTTATATTCATAGAAATTTCTATCAGATTCTTGATTAAATATACAATTAAGACCATTCTGTATATTTGACTCTCCAAAATAGATGTTGTCTTTATACCAGTGTATTTGTTTTAGACTTGTTTTACATTCAAGAGTATATTCTTTATCCTGAATAGCTACACCAGAACCCTTCAATGATACTGAAAATAATTTAAAAGAAGTAATGATCATTAAAAATTATGTTCAGAAAAAAATACAGTTTCTCATATCTCGAAACTTATTTCAAAAAGTAAATTTTAATAATTCGTATATTCTAAAAGTTTAAAAGGAAGTCATATTGGCTAGATTGACATAATATATCATTTTTGTTATATATGAATTATATTGTGTTTAATTTCATTACATATTGATGTAATTGTAATTTCATTACATATTGATGTAATTCTATGAACGAGAGAAAATCAGAAACCATATCCAATGCTTTCTGTTCAAAATACACAATATTTTTTCAATGAAAGTATAGGATAATGAGAGAGAACGATTTTTTACCGAGTTTAGAATGCCCCACACACTACCCCAAGACAGTCGAAGGAAGGATTTCCCTTCTTTGTACTCCGGAAGTTAAGGCCTTCCCCTCGACTGTATTTTGGTACCGTTTGAGGCAAAGGGGCTTTGTAGAATATATTGCAATGCCTTGATGGACTCAATAATGCTTTTTACAAATACCAAAATTATGCATAATTTGGCTTTTAACATGGTGAAATTTCTCCTAAAATAGCGACCCAAAAGTTGAATGGAGCAATCCCACCTAAATGTGTCCACAGTCTAATTACAACCAGACTAAAGTTGTCTTTTTTTCTATTTTTTTTAATAAACTTATATTTTTAATGTAACCATTATAGTTAGGTTCCAAAGACGGCGCTCTTAAACATTCATCCCAATAACCTTTTGTGATGACCTCTGCTTTCACCAAAGAGAAAACCATGCGATAAAAAGATAATCCAATATTTCTACGAACGTAGCAATTGTTAACATTTGACTTAAATGTTGTACTTACTGATAACATATAATGTAAGATGACTATTAACAGACTGAACAATATTATCTTGACATCTCCACATTTTACCATTATCTCTATAATAATCTATAGATTTTATAGTTAGTTTATGTTCAGCTCCACAGTTTTTATATT